ATCTGATGTATGGAAGATGACTGGTTAAAAGAGGTTATTGTATTTTAATTATTTTTCCAATAAAATTCAGTTCAGAAAATTAATTTTTTATTGTAAATTATTAATTCTACATTAAGTCTATTACCATTTTTTATTTTTTATATTCGTTTTGACATTTAAAATTTTGAAAATCTGACTTCAGGTTTTTTATCAGCGACCTTAACTCTACCTAGATAGCACGTTTCAAAAAAATTTAAAAAGTTTCTGAAAAGTTGTCCGCCATATTGGATCCGACATTTTTAATTTTTTAATTTTAAGTACATCTTCGGGTTTTGACCAGGTTTTTCAATTTAATCCATTGTGGCATTGGGTGATTTAATGGTTACTTTTTATTAGAATAAATAATTATTAATAATAGGTGTAATTTATTTTTAGATTATTTAATTTTAGTAAAAGATGAAGGATTATTATTTTCAATGAAATATCCATAATAAAGATGTTCCTGCTCATAATGTACATCTATTATTTTTAAAAATGAACTGAAAGGTGGTTATTTTAAATTTTACTTTAAATAACCAGTATTCGGAAAATAGAGATAAAAAATTACATTTAGAATCTACAAAAATAATTTTTATAAAATGATAATAAAATCTTTTAATTAAAATAATCATTAAAATAAAATTTATATAAAACTAAACCTGGATTTCTGCTTCACATGTCAAGTTAGTATTTTATTGAAGACATACATTATTGAGAAGCGTAGCTACAAAGAAAGAGAGAAGCCTGATATCTACAACACGTACAGTCCACAATTCACTATTACTAATATTTCTGTATTCAATAATGCAAATAGCGAATCTCCGAGGTGAACATTAATCAATATATGAAAATGAACATTTTAAAGTGGTTATATCAAGTGGCAATTTAATTGCATTTTAATCTCAAACCCTATTGAAGCAAACTTTTCATATTTAAATCATTTTATTATATATATGAAGTCTATTTAAATGCGGAATAGAATCAAGAATATGATTCGTTTTTATTCTTCTCCTTTTTTTATGCGAGCATCTTTGAACTACATTTTGTGAGCAAAAAAAAAGAGGTCGTTAACGCCTCGCAATGCAATGTAATAAACCGATAGTATCGCGGTGTTCACGCTAATTTGTAAAAAAAAATTGTGAACGATATAAAAAAGAAGCGCTATTTTGAATTATAAAATGAAACACCCAATCTACGTAAATCTGAAACCAAGGGATGGTGCTTCTCCGCTTGCATCGTTACATGTAAAATTAGGGTTTGCAAATTAATCCTCCCTCGCTTTCATTCTCTTCACTGAAATGCATTTTGATAGTAATTCTAAAACTCCTAAACATATAGTATTGATGTTTATGGTTTAATAAAAAATTTCAAAGATTTTAAATATTCCACAAAAGGTAAAAATTTGATCGGAAATAATTTTTTGTATTTGCTCTGAACCTCGAAAATTGCATCTAAATCCAAAAATTACCTTTTTTGTCAAATTTTGGTCTAATTTAGATTTTGGATAAAACATATAAAAAATTTTTTTTATAATTAAAAATTTTTATCTTATTTAGGGGCCGTCCATGAACTACGTAGCCTTTTGAGGAAGAGGGGGGGGGGGCAAGCAATTGACTACGATAAGAGGAAAAAGTGGCGCTAATACATGTAATAGCGAAAAATGGCACTTAGTTTGACAAGTATGGTTCGCCATACTAAAAATCAGTTTTTTCTGTCCATCGTTTGCCACAATTTGCCCGCAGTTGAATTTTTGACAGTAAACTTTAAAAATATAAAAAAAACCTTTCTTTCTTATCCTCGTGCTTTGCCATACTTTGCCCATGATTCAAAAATATAAAAAAAATGAAAGGTTTTATGTTTATATCAGTTGTTTTAATGTAAAATTGATTTTTATTGTCGACATTTTTTAAACATGAGTTTCCCTCATTAGCAATACTTTTTCATACTTTCTCAAATTTAGTGCTATATTTTGCCATTCTTTAACCATAGTTTGCCATTTTTACCTATACTTCCATTTCTACGCGGGTGAGCCTTAACTTTAAAATTCTTTTAGTTTCGATCAAAAATAAAAAAAATATTTAAATTGTTTAGTTAATGTTCAACGCATTTGTACAATCTATTTATTTATCTATTTATTTATTTATCTATTTACAACAAAAATTATTATTTTTTCCAAATTTTTAAAATACTTTTATTACCCATGAATAAAATGGGAAATATTCTAAAATTTACAAAGCTTTATAAATCAAGTAAAGGGTGTTATGCTGATTCGGAAATAATTGCCCTATTGGGATATCACACATTTGTGTAGAGGAAAATCTCTATCAAACTGTAAATATCTGTAATGGAAGTCTATAGATATTCACTTCATATTGACCCATTAACTTGGATTTTAACAGTAATATGATTTTCATTGCTTCAATTTGGAAATCAGAGCTTAACGATTTAAATTTTTATTATAAACAACCAAATATCGTGGTAAAGGAGAATTTCTTTTTTTCAAATCAAAATTTAATATAACATGAATTTGCAATTTAAAAGTAAAAAATAACTTTAAATAATATAAAAATATTATTATAACTTTTCTTTTTTAATCAAAACTTTGTACACTGACGTGAAATTAAATACCTTTTTCAATAAACGAAAAAAATTCTCGAGTTTTAATTGATGAACAAAATACCGATGAGATTATTAAATTTTTTTCAATTAAGGAAAAATTCAATTATAATGAATCGTCATCGTAGAAAGATAGTTTTGAACAAATGCAAATGTTTATTAAATAAATATTTCAAAAAACACTCAAATTTAAAAAAAATGAAAAGTTCTTTCTTTATAATGAAATTATTTTCCATTTATTGGAAATTTTAAAACAATTAATTAGTTTTTATTGCAATTTTAAATTCTTACTCTCTTTAGACAAATTCTTCTGTGATTGTTGTTATTAATTTTACCGTTTTATGATACTTAGTAAAAAGATACATCTGATCTTAAAAGCTGCAGTTCTTTCAGTGAATAATGAATTTCATTTAGAAAGGAAAAAATGAAAAGAAATGAAAATATCCTAAAAATCACTTTGCACGAAAATGATATTAATCACAAAATTCTCATTTCTCATTAAAATGCAACTCATTTTAATGCAAATCATGCAACAATGAATAATAATTGCTAGAAATAAATCCACCTGTTACTCTTGTGAATCAACTAATTTAATCATATTTCTCTCTCTCTCTCTCTCTCTTTCTATTTTACTCCCGCTCTTTTATCAGCTTTTCTTTTACATAAAACTACGTAGGTATTTCATCATTAATCAAAGTAGAAAAATATTATTTGGCTTAAAAAAATTTCTTTTCAATGTAATCGTTGATTTAATCTAAATTCTGAAGTCCTTAATCCTTAAACTATTTTTAGCATATTTCTAAAGTATTTAACAACAATCTTGGTCAAACTGAGCTTAAGACTTTAATGCTCTCAAAGTTCGTTAAGCCTATTGTAAAATGAATATAGAAAGGGAAGTTTAAAACTTTTTCCAATCCTTTATTAGACATTAACTTTTTGCGTTTTTTCAGAGATTTTTTTTTATAAAAAAATTCCTTTGCTTTATTTTTTTATTAAAAAAAAAATAACGGAGAAGCATACAATACATTTGAATATATTACGAACAAAAGTGTGAAGTGACCTGTATTTTAAAATGCGAGTAACTCACTATTAACATTACAATGAAAATGGTATAGTAATTATTTATGTAAATTAAAAATATTATTATATACTTAAAAATGTTAAATTGCAATTAGAATTGAAATATTAATATACTTTAAATCCTATTGCAATTTAAAAGAAAAGAACTTTTCTCCTAGGGAACTTATCAGAAAATGTAAATAACAAGTCAAAAAGATGTTCAACGTCAAAATATGACTGAAGTTTCGATGTTCAAAAATCTTCTTAACAGAATAAGACAGTTTTCTCAAAGTTTTCATATAAGTCAAACATTCCAACGTAGAATACAGAAATGGTTTTGTATAATTTTTATTAAAAAAATGTTTGACATTAAAATTTTTCTATAAAAAATTATTCGCTCGCGCTGAAAAAAATTTTAAAAAAACGAAGCAAATTTTTCAATTTATTTTTCTACAGTTTCACAATCTCAAAACATGTCATGGAGAATTTATGTCGGGAATTATCATAATTTTTACATTTTACAGCGCGTTTAAAAAGTATAATTCTGTCTTAAAAATATAACAGTATTTTTCACACTGAATAATTGCAAATATTTATATTCATAAATAATAGAGAAATTTATTTTTCTACTTTAGTAAAAACTAAATTAGGATTCATTGCGTTTTGGAGAAAGAAAGCTTCTACTTGAATTTGACAAATGCCGATGGAAATTGTTTTTTAAAATGATGTTTTCAAACAATTTTTTTCGAATTTTCAAATTATTATTAATACGAAATTATTTTCAAATTTTCTTATAATTGAAAAAAGAATCGTATCATCAGTTACTTGAGAAACAAAGAACTCAAATATACTTTTATTTAAAAAAAGTTTAAAAAAGCTTTTAGTTTAAATTCAATTATAATTTATTATTTGTTCTATGGCATCGGAGTCAAAACAAAAAAATTGCCGCATTACATTTGTTATTAAAGTTTTTCAACAGCCACAAAATTTTTGTTACGTTAAGAATACATTCGAATCTCAAAGTAATAAATTATTTATGATAAATAATATTTGTTTTATTAGCAATTTTTTAGGATTAGAATTTTAGATTTAGAATTTTAGGATTAGGAAAATTTTTCATTTTCAAAGTACCAGAAAGAAATTTCAAATTCTCAAAGTAATTCTCTTGTACTAAGAAGAAAAATTAAGAAGATATTAGAAGAGGATTTTTCCTCTAAATATGAGATTACTTTTTATAGGGTGTAAATAATTTTTTAAAAAAATAATTTATAACAAAAATTTAATAATTTTGTTCTCTCGCAACTTACCAATTGGATCCGATGTTATCTTTCCGAGAAATGTTGTTATTATTAAAAGAAACACGAAACCGGATTTGTTACCACTAAAAACACGTAGCACGTTTATCATTTTTGTATTTAAAATGCAACCGGAGGGTTGCGCGTGTCGCGTGAGACTAAAGTTTCAGTACCATGCAACTTAAGGGTATATGCGAAACCCCCACTAGTTCAAATCGAGAAATATTTTCCCCAGTTGAAGTGTGCGCGCAACACTGTACCAGTCTGGTCGTTTCATCCCCTGGTCACCGTCAATTCTACATTCACTGCACAAGTGTAAAGCCAGACCTTTTCGTCTGTCAAATGCTTCTTCCAAAAAGCTTTGAGGCTTGAGTGCTTTTTTTTACAAATTTGATATGTTTGACAAATAAATATATAAAAATACAAATATAAAGTTTCGAAAACACTTTGTAAAAGCTTTTTTTCTTTCTGGCTTGGTTTTTTTATTTCAAAACGTTTTCTTTATTTAGACGCCGGTTTTATCCATAAACATTTTATTCTATTGTTAACAAAAAAAAATATCTTTTTTACAAATTCAAGGCATATGGTTTTATAGAAGAGTTTTTTAGAAGTTATTTTTTAGTTTACTTTTTCAGTGAGCTTTATCAAATTTCCCTTCGGGCAGTTAAATAAACATTACACTTTTTTAGCTGATTTTTTGGAAAGAATTTTTTGTTTTATTTTTACGACAATGTGGAACGTTACTTTATATTGAATGGATAAAAGTTTGAACCGTTTTTAACAATTATTAAAAGTAAACATAGACTTAAAAAAAAAGTTTATATTTTATTAACAAGTCAAAATGAAACTATTGCTATGCTTAACTTATTGATTACTTTTTAATTTTACTAGTATTTCTGATTCTAGATTAACCTAATTTCAGAGAAAATTGTAAAAAAGGGCATAAATTTTAAAGCTTTGAAGATGATGTTAATTTCAAAAGTCTCGAGACTTGTAGTTCACTTTTTCGATATCTATTTTTTAAATACAGTTGTAATTATAATTTCTTAATGTACATGAGTCGTTATTGTCCAATAAATCGAATTTTTTTTTTTTTTTTAAATGAAATATTATCTTAAAAATATTCTCCTGAAGGTGGATGTTAAAAAAATCCGCACCTAGAAAACACTAGAACCGCCATTTTTAATTTTTAAATACTGACATAGAATTTGTAATTAGTGACCTCAAAAACCCTCGAGTTAAAGGTTTCAAGTCGATCCGATTAATTTTTAATGTTTCCTTTGCCATATGGGATCCGCCATTTTTAATTTTTAAAAACTGACATAGAATTTGTTTTCAGCGATCCCAAAAACTCCCAAGTCAAAATTTTCGAGTCAATCTGATTAATTTTTGTTTCCTCTGCCATATAGGACATCTTGAATTTTTAAAAACTGACATAGGATTTATAATCAGTGACCCCAAAAACCCCCGAGTAACAAGTTTTAAGACGATCCAATGAATATTTAATTTTTTTCTTCCACCATATTACATCCGCCATCTTGAATTTTCAGAAACTGACCCCCGAGTAGTAAGTTTTAAGACAATCAAATTAATTTGTAATTTTTTTTCGACATCTTGAATTTTTGAAATCTCTGATGATTAAAAAAGATTATTCTAGTATTTTAAAATTTGGAATTTTCCAGGGACAGTTACGAAAGTTTAGTTTCGTTTTAGTTTCTGAGTTGACACAAACCAAATTAAAAAACTGAGATTAGTTTCGTGTCGACTCGAAACTAAATTATCGAGACGGTCGGATAAATTTATCAATGACAACAATGCAGGACAGCTAATAAATCCGTTTAACAGGATTTAATTTCAGGTATATTTAACTGTTCTCTTAGAGTAGTATAATCATGATCAAGTATATTAAAAGGGATATTAAGTTGCGTCGCAGCAAATCGAAGAAAACGGTTTTGAATTCTTTCAATTCTAATTAAATTATAAGTATAGTAAGGTACCCAGATGACTGATGCGTATTCGACTAAGCTTCTAACTAACGCAAAATAAACCGACTTAATTGTAAGCATGTTATGAAAAAGTGAAGCATTTCTCGTCACAAAGCCCAGGGAACGAAGTGCTTTATTTATCATTTCAGATATATGAATATTAAAGTTCAAAGAAGCATCAAGGAGTACCCCAAGGTCGAACGTACAGCGGAACTTGTTTCGCGTTAGACGAGAATCCTTTGAAGACAGCAATAATCTGATGTATTGGACTTTGGCGAATCATTGGAGGACTCATATTTAACCCTGAAATCGATACATCTGAGAAAGTTAAAAAAAAAATTTTCCTAAGTTTTAATCCTCATGATAATTTAAATTCCATTTATCTCAAAACGTTATTTTCAAAGACAGTGGAATATGTCAAAAAATAGCAAACCAAGTTTTCTAAAAGTTTACACAAATGGTGGTGGGTAAATAAATATTATTTTCAATAATTAGGTCTCGTTTTTATAAAGAAAACAGAATGGTCGATTTTGAAATCAAAAATCATGACTTTGGTTTAAAATTTCTGAAATTTTAACTGTATTCAACGGAGCTTAAAATTGTAAAGTTATAACCAGGTGACCAAATCCATTTAATATATAATCAGAAATGTTGATTAAAATAGAATAATGGTTTTAACCTCGTGCATATTAAATACACTAATTGACTGATAATGCTATACTGACAATTATGTCGATATCTGCTTTAATTTTTAGTTACCAAGTAGGTTTTGGAAATATCCTTCATATATTTATCAGCTTAATAATTAATAACAGTAATCAATTAATATTTCTAATTCTGGATAGATTTTGTAGCAGCTGCAATGCGGGACAAAAAGTTTGAATGATTGTAAAAACAAGGAAAGGGGTAATTCTTCGATAGTCCATTACTAAGAATTTTGTATGTTCCTGGTAAATCTTGTCGTAGTGGCGGGACTTTTTAATAAAAGACTTCCAAACAGCAAGAATGGAATTATCGACTTCCAGATCACTTCCCTGTGTAATTAGGCCAGAAACGGAAAACACAGAAACTGGAATCTCATCTTTAGTTTTATTACAGGTGCAAAAGTGCGTACGGATTGTGGAGGCGTACAATTTCTTCCACTACCATAGGTCATCGTGGAAAGATTACATCCACCAAGGTAGCAGTAACAAAAGAAGCTCGTCGAGCATTCTGAGTGTGATGAGTGCACTGTAAATACAAGTGTCTCATTTTGAGACGTTTTGTCCCCATATTTAAAAAACACATTGCAATAAACGAATAAATTATTAACAATAATTTAACCGTTACAGTAAAAGAATTTAAAGCAATGTTACACGAGAAAATTCGAAACCCTTAAACCCGTTTGGTAACGGATCCCCCTCCTAACAGATTATTCCCTACTGAAAATCCCTGTATAAGATCTTGTACAAGAAAATGCACACGTTCAGCAGCTGAACTTGTACAAAAAAATGTACAATTTCTTGTATAAGGATTTGAAACAAGTTCTTGTATTAGAACTAGTACAAGAAAATGTACAAGTACTTGTACAAGAAAAGAAACTAGTACAAGAAAATGTATATGATCTTGTACGGGTTCATGTACAAGTACTTGTATACATGAACACGTACAAGTACTTGTACATTTTCTTTACACATTATTTTTAAGTTGTAAAAATTATAAACATTAAAGGCTGCACAGTAGTTTTTATAAGCCTTTAGAGCTGTGCAATAGTTTTTAGGTTGCCTAAAGTGAAGAGTCTTAACGATTATAAGTTATTAAAATGCCAATTTAAAAAAAAATTATTTATAAATTTACTTATTCCAATTTTCTAAAAAAAATTTATTTATAAATTTACTTGTACAAGAACATGAACGTCTTCATGTATACAAGTACTTGTACATGAACCCGTACAAGATCATATACATTTTCTTGTACTAGTTTCTTTTCTTGTACAAGTACTTGTACATTTTCTTATACAAGTTCTAATACAAGAACTTGTTTCAAATCCTTATACAAGAAATTGTACATTTTCTTGTACAAGTTCAGCTGCTGAACGTGTGCATTTTCTTGAAAAAGATCTTATACAGGGATTTTCAGTAGGGTTAATTCAGCCTGTGGGGTGAGAATTCCTATTTTTAAGGCGGAGTGTCAATTTAGGAAATAAAGGTTTGTTAAATAACTAAAACAAAAGTTATGCTAATGAACAAAATATATAATTGTATTAATTCAAACTTTCCCGTACATAAAAGAAGGCGTCTCCCAAATTTTACTTTACTCTTTATTTTTATTTATTTATTTTTTTTTATTGTTTATACTCCTGCCCTATTGGCCTTACGCACTTCGACAAGAGTCCCCGAGAAATACTTTTTTGGATTAAGCATAACCATTCTACATATGAAAATTCTATATATTAACATAATTTGCGTCTACAGCCGACTTTATTAGGAGTACTCGCATTCCGCCTGGACCACCCGTCAATGGGTTTTCTCGCCAGAGAAGAGGGAAAACTGTAGAAAACCTCTCTCCTGAGTACAACCGGTTTATCGACAGTCGAGTTCTAATGGTGTGTACCGGACAATAATCGACGGTGCACATCATTATACCTCGACGTCAAACCTCCCGCTCAGATTATCTCACGTGCCGGAAAAATACCAAGCCAAATGGGCGCGAACCAAGGGTACTTATACCCTTGGTCCTTAAACGACCGCCAAGCGAGGCATCTATCCGACTGAGCTAATCCGTCGGTCATACTTTACTCTTTATTTAAACAATAACAAACTTTATTTTGAGTCAATTCTGACGCAATTTATCTTACAAGAATTATGTGTTTAGTGTAGTGTGTTGTAGTCTTATATGTCATAAAATAAAATTCAACTTACTTTGGTTGCTCCTCCATTTAATCCTTAATATTTTCTTATGTTCTACTTATATTTTTCTCTCTGTTTAGAATTATATCTTGATCTACTTTGATTTAACTTTAACTTTAGTTTCCACTTTACTACTTATAAGGAATCTCTTTTCTATCAAACAAACAACCTATTTATTTTAGGTTTCCAACTGAATAACCTTTCTGACGAACTTCCCTAAAGGAAGTCTAAAACCAACTCCCCGATTTCCACCGTTCGATCAATT